CAGGTAGAAGAGAGATCTGACCGATAAACTTGAAACTTTGTTCCAAAAAGGAGTAGGAATACAGGAAACGTCTTATCCTTTGATTACATGGAAATCATCTCTTTTTGACGTAGATCTGCAAAAGGATGTAATAATATGCTTAAAGTAACTTTAGCCTCAGCTGGTAGGTTGGGGTTAAAACGACGCTCATTGTTCTTTTGAAGCTTGTTGGTATCTGATTACTCGTCTGGTTGAAGTACAAGAGGGTTAAAATTATTCCTGTTAGTAACTCTCCATGACGTGTACAATATTGTATACCAAAATCAATTCTATTAAGAATAGAAGAAAATTAAGAATAGAAAATTAAAAATAAAAATAAAAATATATATATATATCTAGTTTTTCATAAATCAGGATAAAATTTATTTTCTTTTTTTTTTTTCTTTTTGTCTCTCAAAAATTCTATTTGCATCGTATACGAATCAATCTACCAGCTGAGAGGGATTAACAAGTTTTGCAATAACGTAACGTCTTACCAGGATCAAGGTGTGCTCGCCTTGAACGTAACGCTTCACTTCAATAAACATACGCACACCGACATTCGTAAATTCCAGTCACGTCCTACACGATTGCGTTCAGAATCAGATGAAACTGATAACGAATACATTACGACATTTTTACGGTGATTTGTTCCGTTGGAGTCCAGGGCCAAATGACAACAGCCAATAGGAAGACTTGATGTCGGCACGAGTGATGGCAATGACCCGAGCATCGTGCGAATCCCTCGATCGGGTCCAGCTGGTGCTGGGGCGCAGTCGACAAATAGATTTCGCGCATTTTCCACCTCGCGAGCACTCTATCCATTTCCGAGCGGGATGAGTCAGGCTTCCACTCGAAGCTACCGGTCACTCTTCTATTTTAATAATTGCCGTAACGGCCCACCTCTAATTTTACCTCGACAAGAGAAGCGAGACAGAATAGCCGCTGACTGCGCACTGCGATCTGCCCTTTTCGTACTTCGTTAACATATGCACTTTTGTTATAATCAAATTACAGCTGGAAACATGAAACATATGAACGAAGTCAATTAACCATGTCGCACGATTTCATCCGATATGCGTTCTATTACGCATTCCACAGCCTCCAAATTGAGCCGCGACGAATTAATGTCTGTTTCTTACCTAATTTCTAAATAAGTGGAATGTAAATTTCCTGATGTCGTAAGTATATAGAGATGTCCCACGTATATACCGTGTAGGTCCTAGTTTAGAATTAAAGAAAAATGAGAAAAGTTAAGGATGAGAAATCATTACTTAAAAATTAATTAGAAAAGATGAAAAACTTACATTATGTTACTGATAAAATGTTATTTAGATGTTATTTGAATTATAGCTGATCTATTACTATGCCTGTAATTTGTAATAATTTGTAAATTAATATACAACATGATCGGTATAATTCTATAAAAAAATATAACCTCAAAAAATCTATTGTTAAGATATTATAAGAAATATAAGCAATAGAGGATAATAATTACGTTTAGAATCTTCTGAATGACTAAGGATGAGATAGAAATCGATCGTCGAATAATTGATATTTAATCTGAGGATTAAATTGTTGTGGAATAAACATCGAAATACCGAACAGCTTTTTCCATTTCTCTTAACACTGCCTGTGAAACATGTTATTCATAACATCCTTATATTTACGTACACGTTCGAATTTATCGTCGTACGTGCACTGTTTACAGCAAACATTGCTTTTATTCCAGTAATGTAAAAGGAAAAAAACAGTTTGTTTTAAAACACATGCAGAGAATGAAAATATGGATTTGGAAAAATGAGTCGTCGTAGACAAAGAATATGTAAAGTGTACACAAACAAAATACTATACATATAACACAATTTTGAAAAAATCAGGATAAAAACTTAAAACACTAAAAAAACAATTGCTTAAATGTATTTCTTTGATTGTTAATTAAAAATCTTCACTTGTATAACGTAAAAATTAACACAACACTTTCTTAGTGCGATCTTGATGTAAAACCGCCAAAATGTCTTAGATGTCGCTGTAATCGCATATTTCTCGATAAGGATCGTTTTCAATCGAAATCGATGCGAATCGATCATATCCATGCATGCTTTCCGTGCTCCTCTCTGCTCGATAACCGATGGAAAAAATCTGGAATTCCCAGTGGGTGGACCAGTTCTTCGTCCCCGAAGATATCTGAGCGTGGCGATCCTTTCACGTTGTACACATGAAACTCGTTCGTTCTGGCGAATGTATATATGCGGTTGCAAAAATCGTGTCATTCTATTATCGATCGATTTATCGAATTTTAAATTCAAAAAATTCTACGAATACATATATAAGTAATAACAATTAAATTTCTTAGAAAGTTATAGATACTTTTCCTTAATAATTATTCAATTTTTTTTTTAATTGAATGTTTTTAATTGAATGTGAGACAAAAAAAATATGACATAATTTTTGATTCTTGAGAAAGTTATGAACGAAGAATTAGACTTCGATAAGGAAATCTATATTCTTTCATATATTTCACGTTATATTTCTATACTAATCATTCATGGAAGTACATAATTCTTCTTGTATCAGCTTTCCTGATATTATATCTTTCAATGGTAATAAAACACTAGTTACGAATCATATTACGTATTCATTTGCAAATCAAACAAAACAGTCTGCATGTTATGATTATTTTGTTTCCAACTACTTCGAAAAATAAACCAATTTTTCTCGATCGACGGGCAGGGAAACACGTCGTTCTATGATTTAGATTTCTTTTATTTCCGAAGCTTTGTATGCACATATAACGATCAACGGTGTAACAATACTATCTCTGCCGATCGCAATCAAAAAACTCTCTTTTTTTCTCTAATTCTCTCTCTCTCTCTCTCTCTCTTTCTCTCTTTTTCTCTTTCGTACATGCACGCGTCCACATTTTTCCTCTTTCTCTCTCTCTTTGATAAAGTCAAACACCCATTCCCTCAATTCCTTTATTATATATTTCCTAATTTCTTGCGCATTATGCAAAGTGAATAATCGGTATCTCCACCATGGAAATACATCTCGTTACACACGTAATTTTGTAATCGAGCAACGAGTCTTGCTCTATGAAAATCGTCGTGAAGACCGCTCGCTCGAACATAAATTCGAGAAGAACGCTCGTATAATACTGTTTTGGTTTCGCCTTCGAATGAAACACATCGCATTATATTATCGAATATTTCTAACAACGTCGTTCCTCGACGTCGAAATAAGAGACGATTCTTAGCGAATTTTATTATTATTATTTTTTAATCTCTTTATTTTTTTTTTTTTCTTTTAAACGCGACATTGATAGATTATCTCTTTTAGATTTTTTTCCCCAAATTTTCGTAGAATTTTTTTTTCTCGTAGAATTAGAGACGAAGCGTAGAGAAGTATAGTAAAGTTTCTCTTGGAAGATAGAAATCGTTCCTTAAGAACGAAGATCTTAAGATTTTTAATCTAAGAATCTTTGTTGCGTTTTATGAAGGTCGTTGGGTCTCGTATACACTGACGAGCAGTAATTAATATTGATGATTATTTAATAGATATTGTAATTAATACTCCCTGCAAATGGCGATGATACACTTATTTTTCAAAAGGTAAAAAATTTCAGGATAAATATCATCTATAATATAAGTTACAGATTATTATGCACTTCGTCAAAAGAATATTTATGGAATATATTACGTTCTTTAAACTATGAGCTCTTCACTCGTCAGTCTACACGTATCCTTACGATTCTAAGCGTTCTCATTTAAAGACACTACTAAAAAGTATGCTAGTCCACCTTTCAAATTCTCGAGAACGAACCATGAAATATATGCGTGCAATCGAGGAATCGCTCGATACAGTGTGACCTATAAAAAATCTATGTCTTTCTCGAGCATACAGTAAAGCATCGATTCGATGATGATTACGAAGGAAGCTGCTAAGAGAACGTCGAAAACGAACCATCTTTTTTTTTTCTTTTTCTTTTTTACGATGTACAAACTCTTCCAGGCAGGAAGAGGTTTTAGCCTGAATTTATATTACATATATAATACATATGTAATATTATTTATATTACATATATAAGTGTCGTTTACATTATAAACACGCTAAATACCTGAGAGAAACGTGATCACGAGCGTATGTCGACCGATTATCGTTGACATTATTTCCATTACTTTTACAAAGATATAGAATGCCAAACGTTTTCGTTGCTAGCCGACTATGTAATTCACTACGTTCTCACGATAGAAATATTATATATATCGAAAATTTCGATGATATTCTTATGCGATAAGAGCGGTGTAATCGGTAAAAAAGTAAACGCTCAAAGAGACATCGATTATGGAATTTGTTTGTCGTCGAGTTTATGGAAAATCTTAACATCGATCTATATTGCACGAAAAATCTATAAATCTGATTTATCGATGAGATGAATTTCGTCGAACAATGTCTGTTTTTTTTTTTTTTGCATCGTCGATAAATTGTACAATTTATTTTATATTCAGATTGTATAATATAGATGAGATGAATAAACGAGATAATGCTTTATTACTTTGTAAATGACGCATGTACCATTAATTGTCGAATCGAGAAAGATGATAATACAGTGATACAATAGTGCTTCATTTATCCAAATTATATTTATTCGAAATGAACGAAAAATGATAGTAAAAAAAATTGGCAAACTTTCATCAACTTATCATATGAAATCCTATGTATCCAATATAACCTATTTGACTCTCGATAGGTTCAGATAAATGACGCATTCTAACGTATCTACTATGTTTCTTATTTTCCAGTCGGTATAATACCTCGAAACTGAAGTTGTAAAGTTATATTAGCGTTATATTGAATACCTTTCTTCTGTTCTGTCCATTTGTATATTTATTTAATTGATGAATAAAAAAATATTATTAATATTAAATATCGCGGGAGAATACACTTCATGTCACTGGTAACGCCCCTATAATCGCGAACGCGGCGCCTATGTCTTACTAACGAATGCAGATCGTATTGTACAAAGTCAGTCGCTGCTCGGGAATGGTAAAAGACGGTCTCACCGATGATTTATGTCACGTTACCGCATTATACGTACATGCTTACGAAGCTATTCTTTAAAAATGTAAATCTTTCACTCTCCCCTCACTCTCATAGTCTTAATCACAAGAGGAGGAAGCGGCGAGGAACGTGTGTACTGTCCAATTTCAAAAGGCGATACATTATTTTAAGTATACTTTCTAATTTTACGTTCTAACGGATTCTTTCTTTCTCTCTTTCATTCTTTTCATAGAAAGAAAAGCTGTATACCGGAGGATACTTTCAAAATAACCCATCAAACGTACGACGTTACCGTGTGGAAAAAAAACCGACATAACCTCTATCTCTCAGTATGCTCTACGTAATAAAAATTGCTTCCAGGCATGTCACATAACCAATTATGAGATCAAAGTAAGTCTCAGTGGATTATAAGAAATATTTTATACAGAATGAAGATTCGAAATAATTCCAAATAATTTCGATCCCGTTATTAGTCGCAAAACATGCGTTGAGGCAAATCTTATTGTATAGATATTACACTGTAAAAGTATTTCAATATATGAATTCATTTGTATTCAGGTTATGAATTCATTTTAAAGTAAATTCTCAAGAGTTTGCTATTGAGAATACTTTTTGTAAGTAAGAAAACTGCATTGATAACGTCTTAAAGTAACTTTCACAATGTCCATTTGTCAAAAATAATTCTCGAGAACAATTTTAGAGTTTTTTTTACTTTCAAATGAATTCAAACCTTAACAAAATATCACTTCGTGTTCTCGATAGTTATTTTAATGCTGTGAACATTTTACTTAACGAAATCACGTGCAATTTGTGCTCGAACAATGTTCTATCAAGAACAAAGGTATTTCGATTTCTCTTCTAGATCAGTTGTCTTTATTTCCTATTCTAAATACGCTTAACCGCACGTCATGATAAAGGAAAGGAACGTATCATTTATGTCTCTCGCTGAACTCTCGATCAAATGGCGAATTACGGTTAATGAACGTATGAATCAAAGCGAATTGTGCGCGGTTACGGAATCGCGATTACATTTAAGGTCAGCTCTTGCGTTGGGAGTAGTTTTCAATCAGTCAGCTTAATTCCACGCTTGGAATTCGATTTTCACGCATGCCGGGGAAACTCGGTGCGATTCGAGGTCGAAGTGGGTTTGTATTTATGTATGTATTTATATATGTATATGTATATGTTCGAGCACGTATGTTCATTAACGTATTTTGTTGGAAGATGCTGCGCCGTAAATTCTGTAAGCAGATTCTGACATCGTGTTGCAATACGAAAAGCATAAGACTGTATGTGAATAATAAAATATGTATATTAATGTAATATACAATAAATATTTGTAAAATTAAAGCGTAATAATGTTCGATGACCATCCTCCTTTAATCGTTCTACGATTTTTCTATATTTTTTTTTTTCTTTCTAATTAATGATATGTAACAAATACGAGCATGAATTTTAAACCAACGTTCCTGTGCCTCTCACATCGTCTAACCTCTCCATGACAGTGAGAACGTACGAATAATAAAATTGATGAGAAGATCCCAGATAGCAATCGATGCTTTAAAGATATTCACAATTATTTTCAAGGATATTAGTATAAGATTGAACTTAAGAATATCTTATAAATATAATTATTCTTATGCTAATATATGTAATTGAAAAAAAAAATTGCTTTGTAATTTTTTTTTTAAAATGTTTTTCCAAAAAAAAAAACATTTCTTTGCTGTCTGGGACACGAGCGCGAGTAGAAATGGCTGGAGGGTGAGACGGACTAAATAAACAAAATCAAGTGTACAAATAAATATAAAACGTATATTTAAATTAAATGCCACAAAGTATCTTGTTGTATGTTCTTGCGTCATGAACGAAGTCAGAGCTGTACTAGATTTTTTTTCTTCCGCCTCATTTACTTCTTCTCTTCATATTCTTTCCCTCCACGTGAAATTACAGTGCTCTGAGACGACGAACGAACGTATTATCTATGTATACACACGCGCCATTTTATACGCGGAATAACGGAAAAAAAAAAAAAAAGCAGAATCGTACTTTCTGTCGCTTCGAACGCGTACCGCGAATTCGGAACCGGAAGCAAACAGTTCATGCGAATCGACTCCACAATTCTTTCTCTCTCTTTCATTCTTTCTCTCTCATTCTCTTCCTTTTTGTTTCTTTATCTCTCTCTTTCTCTCTCTCTATTAAACTCTAAAAATAAAAGAGGAAACTTTGCAACGATATGCAAAGCCAACGGAAAAAATTTTTTTTTTCCTTCTTTTTCTTTTCCCCTTTTTCCTCTTTAAAACGGTCGATTCTCTAACACACCGCAAACATACAATTCTTTTCTTCCTCGTTTTAAGCGTACTCAGTCTTATGCGAGCCACGAAATGTCTGGTGCACCACAGTTTCACGCGGGTTCGTTAAATCGTAGCGAATCTGACGAGCAAAACGAAAATACTAGACGCGTGATCCGGACTGACGAATTCTATTTAACGAAAAGGAAAGAGCAAGAAAAAAGAATACAAATTAAATTAGTCGAAACGATCGATCGAACGTAGGAAGGTCGTGTTTCTATATCATCTAAGGAAACAGCAATAACAAAATGTATAAGCGATAAAGAGAATGCTCAAATTGAAAACGAATATTATTATAACGAGTGATTTTCTCCCGTGATTTTTTCTTTTTCTTCTTTTTTTTTCTTTTTCTTTTTTTTTTTTTTTTATTGGATACGTAAGCGTAAACGAGAAGTTAGATAATACGCAGGAAATAATAGCATCGATAGAAAATCTATCGCGCTTCGTATCCACGTCGTGTTTAAACTCGCGAGAATCGAGTTGCGGATAATTCGTACGAGACGAAAGTGTTCCTCTTGAACGTGTCTCTTAATGTTTATATCATGATAAACAATGAAATTAGTATTATTGCTGTGCATTCGCTTAATCGTGGACTATTATTATTATTGCTTTGCGAGATTTTTCCATTTTCTTTTTTTTTTCTTTTTTTTTTTTTTTTTTTTTTAATCTTTCCTTTCGAACGATCACGAACCACACTTTCGAACGATCGTGATCATTTCTTCATTTTCTTCGCAAAAAAACGATAAGAAATAATCTTATCGATTGTCTACGATGGATAGCGATTTTTTTTTCTTTCTGTTTCTTTCCTCTGTTTGTTTGTGTTGTTGTTTTTTTTTGTTCGACGTACAGCGTTTAAGGGTTGTTAATTATTGTTTTTTTCTTCTTTTTCTTTTTTTTCTTTTTTTTGTATGTCTGTCGTTTTAATCGGTATTATTTACAACCTCGGACCGCTCGAAACTTACTCGAAGCTCGCGCGCGAAATAACATCGATCGATGAACACTAACGTGTGGTACGTAGTAGATACTATAGTTGGTAGTAGTAATAGTCTAAAAAAGATCATACACATATTTCGCGCATGCACGCAGCATTTCGTGCGCTACAAGCATGCACAGGGCACTTGTTATGTACAGGAGATATTCACACGCTATACGTACACGTGTACATCGTTAAATATACGGTCTACGTAAGATTTTTCTCGAATATACAGCGTTTAAGGTACACTCGGAAACGAGCGGTTAACAGCATTCGACGCCTGTAAATTTTTTACTACGATTTTTTCTCTCTTCAATTTTCTCTTTCTCTCTCTCTCGTTCGCTCGCTCGCTCGCTCTCTCTCTCTCTCTCTCTCTCCTCAATAGAATTATTTTTATATACATATAGATTTATATATGTATATATATAATATATACTTATATAGATTTTTTTTTCGATACCATAGGTACATGTAATTGCTTACGCGATTTATGTACAAATTATCACGGTTTCAGGTAGCCGAGAAGATCAGTAATTAAACGAAAACGAAATCCAGCCATGTCGATCCGTCAATCTCATATTTTTTTCCATTCGCGCGTATTCGAATGATAATTTATTGCTATCGGTACTTTTTTTTTTTTTTTTTTTTAATTTTCTATTCATCTCTTCAATTTTATTTTTCAATAATATATTTCGATGTTCAATCGATGAATCTCGCTCGAGAATTATTATTTCTTTGCAAGAAACACGCTGCTACTCGCTACTATGGTCGCTAATGAATCCTTTAAGGCGAAATTTATGGCTATAATCGTAAGGCGATGCAAGTCGTTTATACGGTCGATGAAGAAATCGTGGTGTAGCTTGCAAACGAGCGAACGCATCGATCGATCATCGTCCAAGTTCGATTTATATCGAACAGAACAATAGCGGTCCGATATGACTGTTCTCGTTTTCGAATAATAGCGGTAATAATAACATCGCTGGCATTATTAATTTATACTGCGCGGTAACGAAAAAAAATCAACGTCCCTTCGTCGGCTCGACATGACGTGCCATCCACGTCTTTTCTTCTCTATCCCTTAGACTAATTTCTCTCTCCATACTCATTTTCTATTTTTCTCTATCTACTGATAATTATTATTATTATATCCCCTCCCTTCCCTTTTGTTTCATCCTTTCTTTTTTTTTTTTTTCCATTTTTCTTGCTACGTTCATCGATAAAACGAAATGTTACAATTTATCGAATTAACGACGCCATACACACGGAAAAGCGGAAACGAAACAGTACCTCTTTCAACGCTTAAAAACACAATGTACGAATTTAATTTTTCTAAGCGGCAAACAATTGTAATCGAACTAAGCGCAAATTTATAACGTTCCTTCTTCCCAATTTTTTTCCTTTTTTCGAAAGATCGAACAATCATTCGTTCCTATTTACTTCATCTCTTCTCTCTTTATTTCATCTCCTATCATTTGGCCGCCTATCTCACTTCTCTCTTTCATTAACGCGTACGCACGATTTAGAATAATCTTGACTAATCAGTTAAATATCACAATCTATGATAAGAAGTTCATAAATATATGTATATATATGTATATATGTATATATACACATATATATATATATGCATAAATATATGTCACCAGTCACGCCATGCTGGAAAAACCGACACAGCGTCGCAAATTAGAACCGACACAGTTTTACAAAAATAAATTGTCTCGGATGTGTTAATGTGTGATGGTGGTGTGAACGTTACCTACTATATACTCGGGATAATGTGTACGGCTTGCTATACTCGTTTGTCAAAAAATTCATCGAATTTCCTCCTAAATTTTTCATCAACTTACACTAGAAGAAGAAGAAGAAGAAGAAGAAGAAGAAGAAGAAGCTAATTTTATCTAAACGAAATTCTCTGTAAGTGTTATTGCTTCGAACAAAACGATATTTCTTTACCAATAATAGAACATACCAATTAGAATTTTCAATAATTTTTCAGAAATAATGGCATTAAACGAGTCATTGTTTAACGCATTCTATGACACGTACACGATTGTACGTAAACAAGATCGTAGTAGAAAAAGCGAAAGAAAACTAGAAGAAGAAGAAGAAGAAGAAGAAGAAAAAGAAATAGAACGGAAAAGAAGAAAACGGAGAACAACGATACGTGATGAGGTTGTAGGTGTATGTGTATATGTATATACGTAAAAAGAGATCGTGATAAAAAAAATATATATATGTATATATGTATACTATGATCTATGTATGTACATGATGAGACCCTCTGTACGCGGACCGAATTTAATTGGAAAATAAGTTGAAGTTTCTACGCGCACGACAATTCGATGATCGGCCACTCATGGCTAACTACATTTACATATTATCTTATTAAACGTATTTACAGGAGGACAATGTCGTAAATCTGATTATTCTCTGGTAGATTGGTATTTACAAAAAAATTCCTGGCTGGTGTTTTTCACGTTTTTCGCAGAAAAAATGCGTGTCACTCAGCGGTGTATCTTCGAAAAGAAAGAAACCCAACGAACACTACTTACTCGTTTTAGCTACTCTTATTTAGCTATTCTTTTT